TCTCTCTCTCTATATATATATATATATATATATATATATATATAAAGAGAGAGAGATATATATAGGCGGAGTGCTAGCGCTTCAATAACCTTCTGAACTGGGCTGGTAGTATGCATTGATAACATATCGAAACTCACCAAAATGTCCTCCTTTTAAATACTCTGTTGATCTATTAATCTAATTAATTCATATAAATTCTCAACTGAATGTTTCCAATACTCTGTCTGCATAAGCATCGTGAAATTCTATGCATCACAATCCCTTTATTATTAACAATCAGCTTTAAAGAAACCCCCTTCTTGTGTAGCTTTGGAAGGCTGTACACTGAAGGCGCTCTAGCAGGTGGTGCAGTATTCATTATGGATAGGTTACGTAATAAAGTAAAAATGATGATCCATTTAAATTACACAGAAACGCACAAACCTTTAGTAAAGCATCCCACAGAGCCTTAAGGCCCGACTTAGGGAATCTCTTTAATTTTGTTTGAGCAAGGGAGAAATTGAGAAGTGGAAAATTAATTTACTTTTTAAAAGAGACACTAAAACACCTTCAGTTTAAGGCCTCCCAAAGATACACAAGAAGAGGGTTTCTTTAAGATTGCTTATTAATAATAAGGAAAGCGTGATGCACAGGATTTCACGATTATTATGCAGACAATAAAGGAAAGTAGTTGAGTATAGTAAATATTCAATGAAGAATTCATACGAATTTGTTAGAATGATAGATCAAAAGAGTATTAAAGATGGGGACCTCTTGGTGAGTCTTGACGTAGTATCGATGTGTGCTAAAATTCCTGTTCAGAAGACTATTAAAGCACTAGCACTCAGACTAGATGAACAACTATAAGTTGTTGAGGAGTCAAATATGAGCAAAAGCTCAATTTTAAGACTACTTAATTTATCCATCATTAGCACATAATTCACCTTTAATGATATGGTTTGTGAATAGGTACAAAACCTAGCAATGGGATCTTGTTTGGTTCATATTTTAGGGAATAATTACATGTTAAGGATAGAGGAACGCTTCATGGAAGAGGTGAGATTCAAACTAAAACG